AGGGCCTGCCTCGGAATGGGGAGAAGTTTTGTCAGGTTTGTTGAAGCAGAGTGCGAAGCTACGACAATGGTTCGCAATCGAGGTTTTGCTCTCACATCCTGAAAGGATGGTTGAATATTTAATCGACTGCCCAGTTGCAGAGGTAAGGAGTTACCTTTATATTTTCATTATGACTGTAATGAAAGTAAATGGAATTGCACAATGCGAAAACGCTAAATAGTTTTTGCAACTATTTGTTGATGCGTCGATGTTTTGTACTTCGCGAACATTTGCTTTTTTAGATGAAGGATGCAGCTAATTTTGTTTTTGCCCATTAACTTCAACGCTTAACATAATCTTTCGGTAATATTTGTACTTCGCTAAGGCATTACATATTAGCTGTCAGTATTTGTTTACAAATCCGAATTGCCCGTTTTTGAGGCTGACTTTGAGATCTGATTTGTAGATAAGAAGCGCTTTCGCAAAAGTGATTGTTTACCTTGCCCATGCAACAAGACAAGATGGCCTTTGGAATGCCAAGCTGCTAAACCGCCCCATCGAAATTTTGACAAGTAAGTGCAACATAATTTTAGTTGCTGAAGGTTTTAACGTCATCTCCAATTGATTATATTAGGCCGACACAACTGTTGCCCTCGACTCTCTCTGTCCCGACCCTTGTTAATTTTCTGCTTACATCTGCTTGTTAATTTAGCTTACATCCACCACCCTCATGGTACTGCAAATATTTTTCTCCATCGTAGCAATTACTCTATTTCTCTTCTTTTGCATTGTTCATCGTATTTTCTAATCAGTTTTCTCTTGAACAACTTTTTAGGCATAAGACTGGACCCGGAGACCTCCACTCTCAGTGATTACATCCTGAAATGTGTTCTTGAACTGATCAACAAAGATGTCACTGATAGCAGCAAATACCTTGTCCAATACTTCCAGCTCTTCGTCATGTACGTTGGCTTTGGAGTCCCAGAGGTAAAATCCTTTTTCTTCAAATTCTTCGTCAAAAGAAAGGTTTATCGAAACATTATATCAACCATTTCTGGCCAAATATAAGCTAGACATTTCTAAACCTTTTGTTGTTGATTTAGTGTTTTTTTAAGCGTAGAATGTAAGATCTGATCCTTGATTGAAACAGCCAATTTTTCGCTTTTTTGCCATGCTGATTAATTTTTGTGTGATAAGAAGCTGAGCATTGCTGAGAAGAATTTGCCACTTAAATTAATGATGAACGTCGTTGAGTGATCAAAGCGGCGTGGGTGAAACGATTTTTCACAGTTGGAATATTGGTTTAGAGGGGACTAATTGCGCTGTTATTTTTTTTAGTTCAATTCAAACTAAACTATCTGCCCAAGATGTTTTTCAATGAATGATAGGCCTTCGCTCTGAATAGAATAAAAATGTTTGCTGAGAATCTCCAAATATTCATTTGCCTCAGTGACTTCATTGCTATTTTCCCGCTTAGTCCAGCTAATCGTTTGATAAGCTCTTTGAGTTTACACTGGTGAACGTCTTATTTTAATAAGTGGTCAGTGTTGATTGGGTTTCTGAATTTATTTTGATCTATTCACATTCCTTTTTTTCGCAGCGGAAACAGTTGCTTGATCTCGGCGTTCTACAGACGTTCATTCGATTGGCCTTTGAAGACGAAAGAAGCAGTACCTCTAGATATCCGTATAGTGAACTCACCAAACTGTATTCTCTTGTGTCTATCCTTATAAGAAGCTGCGATGTTTCAAAGTCAATGAAGTCTTCAATTGAGGTACCTATTTAAAATTTAGAAATGCCTAGATTTTTCCCGTTATTTATTATAATTAGATGATTGTTATAGTTAGACCATTGTCGCTTTTTTCTTATTGCCCTTTGCCCGCGTGAATGGGAGGTTACAAAAATCTGCCTCATTCTCCGAAGAGTCTGCCCTCTATGGTTTAAGATCAACACAAAGGATTGAATGCAATTTGTTGTGGCGAGCTGCAATCTGGCTTTCGGAAGAATTCATATTATTTGGTCCTTCTCTTGGCTTCTGCAAAGATCCAACGGTGAATGTTCTTCTTTTTTCCAGGACAATGATCCGAAGCCGAATAGATTTTATGATAGCTTAATAGATCATCCAATAATGCCGATCCCACAGGATGTTGAAGGCTTAATCTACACAAGGTAAATATTTGTTTTTTGATTGTTTGCTATGATCATTTTCTTTAAGAAACCACGATGTAAACAGCTTATATCCTTCTATCATTTCCATATATTTTTTTCCTTTTCTTTTATCTATAAAGAACCTTATATTTTTCTCATTCTATAGGTTCTTAAATTCTAAAGGATGCTTTTCACCAACGCTGTTGATGGATCATGGAATATGTACTGTCATTCAGCTAGATGTTTTTATGTTAAGATTATCGATCACTTAAAAGGATGCTTTTCAATTTTTTAGCAATTATGTCAAAAAGCTGCTCGAAGAAAGTGCGTCATCCGAAGAGACAATTTGTCTTCTCAAGGTAAAGGATAAAAATGGTTTCCATCTCAATGTTGACATGAAATTGACGACTCACAGGCCTTTCCAAATTCTGCTTCAAGCGGGAAGTTTTTGATCGAACTATCAACTTTGAAAATCAGAATTTTAGACACACTGCTTCTCGTTTATACTTCAACTTTATACATTCCTTTTTCAGTTTTTGAGTTGGGAATGTCTCAGCTTCTCCCTCATCGCATTGTCTGAAGTCTTATTCCAGGTATGTGATTTTTAATTTTCAAAGAAAGTTCTGCACTTTTTTGCAAGCATTTTTTGTCGCGGCATATTAAGCAATGTAGAAAAGCACTATGCTGATACGCCTTTTGCATTTTCAGATATCATACACTTACTCCTATGAACTGAGACCATATTTAGACATTCTTCTACATCTCCTGTTGATGGAGGATTCCTGGCAAACCCAACGGCTGCATCATGCTTTTAGAGGTAGGTGGTGCTATTTTTGTAATCTTCCATTTTTCCTAAAATTGAAAAATTTACTTTGGCGAGACCGCTGTTTTGTTCACAGGTTTTTAAGGCTGGTGTTATTCATCGACGATCACAACATAGTACGGTTGTGCGATCATCGCAGACGAATTGCCCCGTGCTTTTTTTTATCAAATAATATCGGTGACCATAGCTTCGCCCTCAAGGAATCAGAAAGTTTTGATTTTCCCATCTTCGGAGACTGTCTGCGGAGACTGTCTGCGGTTCTAAGTTCATAAATAAACAGGGAACCTTGATTGACATTTTCTTTCCGCAGTCAGACTCAAGACACCATTTGGCTGCTACCAATTTGTAAGGCGAGAAGAAAGAAAGCCATCAGATTATGAATCTTTGAATATTTAACTCATTGAGTCTAGACGTGATCGTCAATTCTAGTGCCAAAACTAAAGGAGAAACTTATACTGATATCATTGTTTTCGTGCTTAAGAGTTTCCCTCAACCAATCTTTTTGTTGATTAGTTATAAAAAACCGACATGTTTCCCCTCACAAAAGGTCGAATACAAACATCAATTTACTTTCAAAGTTGCTGTCATGTTTACGATGAACTACACGATGTGAAAACCAACCTCAAGGCACGTAGAAAGTCAAAACACCGTGCTGCTATACACCTTTGCTTTGAAAAATACTCAAGACTTCTCGAACTAATATTTTGACTTCAGATTTGGTCAAGGACCAGAATTTTTGTATACATTTCAGTTTTCATGAATTTTATAAGGGATTGTCCCGTGACCAATGTCTTAGGTGAAAAGTTTTCCCAGAAAGACTTTTGCAGTCAGTACCCGTTTCAGTTTCAATGCTTTTTATCGTCACAAAATATCAAATACAAACATAAACAATATACAAAAACGTACCCGGACTAAAGAATGGTGGTAAGTCCTTATATGAGCTCAAATAGTCGTTCCATGCAATAAAAAGTATTATCCAAAACGAGGCTGTATTTCAAATTGGTCTATTTACTCAAACTTTTATGTGCCTAAGAGGGGCTCTTTTGAACAGCTTGCAATAGTGGCAGCTGGAATGTTTTCAATTGCAATTAATTTGAATCTAGATTGGTTTTGCATGGTTTTTGTTGGTACTTAACGTAGAACAAAACTGAGAGCACCGCGTGTCTTGCACTGCTTGTCTTGCATCTGTGTGCTGTTGCCTATATTCTGCCAATGAAGCTTGATCAACCAGCAGATCTTTGAAAAATAGCATTTGACACTAAGTACCGAAAGTTCTTGAATCAGATAACTCATTAGTGTTTTATCAATATTTCAATTCTAATCTCATTTGCAGGGGTTTCAGAGGATCGTGAGGGTCTTTTTGATACGATACAGCGATCCAAAGCGCACAGCCAAAAACGAGGTTACCAGTGCATCAAGGCGATTGTTCAGTTACTCAACAAGTGAGTTGGCTTTTTGCTGCTCGTCTAATTTTTCCTCTCACCTGCTCGCCTCAGCTTTTTGTCTCAGCCGCTCGTTTCACCTGCTCGTCTCAGCTGCTCGTCTCGCTAGTCTGTCTCGCTAATCTGTCTCGCTAGTCTGCCTCGCCAGTTGTCTCCTTGTTGTTGTTCATTGAAGAATTTTCTTTTTCCGGCTATGACTTGATTTCCTTTGGTGGCCTCATCAGTACTGTTTGCTTCAAGAGCATTGATTCAAAACGTCAATTCCTAACCTCAGCAGTCGAGCAGTGGAACAATGTTTTCTTTTTATTGTCAATGATTATTTTTTTCAAATTAGAATAACTCAAATTTCGGAAACCGAAATAGGCATGTCTTTTTTATAAATGATATCTTGTATATGAATTTAAAATTTTGCAGCCATATGTTACAAAAATGCATTGCCCTATTTACATCTCCTTCAATTTTCGCCGCTCGTTATAAATCCAGAAAACCGAAACCTGGATTGAAATAACGATAGCGCCACACCTCGTACTGCTTTACAAAACAGTTGACGTTTATATCAAGTTGTCAACAATGGATCCTGATATCACATGAAACTTCAGACGACCCCCCGGTAGAGAAGGCTTATCAAGCATGACTTTAGTATTGATTAACAAAAAAGACAGGCATGTTTAAATACACACGGTGACCGGATCTGATTTAAATCTATAATTATTGTTTTTAATATATTGTATCTCCAGAGCTAGAAAAATTTCATAAATTCCTGCTGTGTTGAAATCGCAAACCGTTGTTCTCTACGATGTTGCAGTAAGGCAGTTCTCATGCAAACTTAAATATAAATACATTTCTTGAAAATATACCTTGATATAGTTTTAGTTCACTGCTATTCTTTAGCAGGGCCCAAAATTGTTTTCTAAAAGAAGTGCGATGTGGTACTTGGGTTGAAAAATTAAAAAACTAAAAAATGTGCGCACAAGTATTAAAATCGAAAATCCGAAATCTCAAAAACAATACCATGTCATTTTAGAAATTCTTTATCATCAAAATTTGTTCATCCTAATAGTACACTTACGTGAAAAAAGTATTAGGACGATGAAAGAAAAGATGGCGTCTCCATAAACACTGTTGTTAAATTTATGGCTTTTTTGGCGGGATTAATGAAATGGCGTCAGCAAAAATACAAGTCCTAGCAACACAAATGTGTTTCCTACCTTTTTCATATACATATTTCATAAAAATCATAGGGAATTTGAAAATATTGATGTTTTTATTACAATGACGAAAGCAAGAGAGTATTCTGAAAGTGAACGAGAGGCAGTTAAATTTTTGCGCAAAGCCGGTCGTTTGCTGAAATCTCAAAACAAATAGGTTGCAGCATTACATTCATGGTGATCTTCAGAGTGTGGTCAATCCAGTGTTTCAAAAGTATTTTTCTGGAATTCCCTAGATTGGAACACTGCTATAATCGATATAGTGCTACAGAGGTAACATTATCACATGCCCATAAAATACACAGCAACATTATAACAGGCCCATAAAATTTAATGCATATCTTTTCTATGTTTTTAGTAGTGAAACTGCAGTGAAAATGATAAAAACAAATGAAGGCTTGAAACAGCGCTGGAATTCTGCTATTCAGTGGCTTGGTGATGAACTAGAAAGGGTTTGTTGCAATTTTTCAGTTATTTTGTGTAACATTGTAGACTGTGATATAAAGCTGTATGCTAGACATCCTTTTCTACACCAAAAAAGACAATCAGAATATTAGCAAATGTTCATTGCTTCCTCATTGGTCAAGGAGAGCAATAGCAAGGATATATGCATGGGTGTTAAAGAGACCCACTTTAAATTTCTCAAAATGAGAAAGGTTTGATTATTTAAACGTTTTTTTGTAAATATCAAGAAACTGATTCTTGTTGACTGCTGTTAAAAGTTTCTAGTCATCTAAACTTAAAGTGTTCACTTTTGCTTGAACTACTTATAACAGTCACAACAACAAAATTTTTCCATAGCGAGCACCATCAGCATATAATTACAACAACTGGTCACCTCCCACTCAGTCAAATGAAACATCGAATGGGTAAAGTATCTTTTGTTAAAAGCTTATTTGTGTCTAGTGTTCACTATTGGTTGAAGGGTACCTTAAGAAGACTGGTTATGAACCCAACCAAATCTTTAAAATCTTTTTTCGATTTTGCTTCTTGACTTTAATTATAGGTTGGTTATGGTGCCTTTCGTATACTTGTGCTCAAAAAGTATTGCAACACTCGCTACAAATGGCAGAAAAGCTGCAAGAAATTTTTAACTTTACTAAAATTCAAATATCTGCAACAAGTTATGCAAGAGTTTTGTGATAGCTGTTACAGTCGTTAATTTTCTGTCATGTCTATGAGTCTATGGTATTATTTGTGCAGCAGTGGAATCCAGTTGATAAAATGTACCACAAATCATTATATTGATCTTTTCCAATCTATTATCTAAGGATGTTGTTTAAGGACCAATAGTAACGAGAATTGCCCAGAATAAAGTTTCTGGAAATTGCAAGAAAAGATGAAAATGTCTGCAAAAACAATGACACTTAAATGTCTCTACAGCAGTAGAAGAATTGTTCTAACAAACAGCTGTAAATTTGTCATTTTCCGCCAACTACAAAGCAATGCTCAAATACAAACTTCACAAATGTTCTTCATGAATGGAATCTGTTTGATGGAAATATTAGATATTCAGCTACAATCATTTAGTTCAAGTGCAAATAACTTTCTTTGATAAATACTGTTAAAGGATCCTTGTTTGGAGTATTCAGTATCTTTGGTATTAAACAACTGACAATGCTTAGAATTGAATTTAGCATATTATATTACTGTATTTTGCCATGTATAAGATGCAAATTTTTCAAATTATTATTGGCTTTGTTTGAGGGTGCGTCTTATACATGGTAAAGAAGCCTGGTGTCCATATAGACGTTGCGGGTCATTGACAGTCTTTGAGGGTCATTGGTAAAACTGAAAAACCATCAACATGGAGACATCACAAAATATTTCAGTGACCCACAACAATCCACACATTGTGGGTCGTTTAGATAGAAAAATATGTGACAAAAGCTTTTTTCCTCCCAAATGAAAGGGTTGTACCCTGTATTCTCCAGATTGGAGGGCACATCTCTGTAATCGTTGTGAACTTTGTGAATGAAACATATAAAGAACAAGGATTTTATGGAAATTTAATAGAATAATAATGATGATTTTGATTATTTTATGATGTTAAACTCTTTACTTTATGATTTTAAACGTAATATTTGGAACATTGCGGTTTGAACGAATTTTCCTCCACAGAGAGAGTATTATCAAGTTTATTATTTTGCCAAAATATATGTGCTATACAAAAACTGACAAAGGGGGATGCGTCTTATACATGGCAAGACATGGTGAAAACTATTTTTTCAGAATTCAAACATGGAATTAAGAATGTGTCTTATGCAAGGAATTAAGAATGTGTCTTATGCAAGGATGCATCTTAAGAACAGCAAAGTATGATAACATAGATTTCGTCACAATTTCATGTTGCTTACAACCCTGTCGTTGTTACTTTTTCGTCAAACCAGTGCAACACGTCTCTAACTAATCCAAAAAAGTATATATTGCTTTTTGAATTATTGTTACAATTTGATAATTTGTTTATTATTTAGATATTTCTTGGAAAGATCTCAGAGTGCACGAATGACATATACAAAGGCAAGAGAATTCTTCGAAGAGGTATGTTGATGAGAGACTAATTTCCAAATCAAATAAAGCTTCCTTGTGCAATATGTTGCTTGTGATGGCATTTTTCTTATCAAGTTCAACAGCTTCAGTTTTTGAGAAAATAAAAGAGTTTGATTTTTATTGCTTATGATTGGTGATGTTACTGTCAGACATTTTACAGGTTAATAACAAGGAGGACAACAAAAATCAAAATTTTGTTATTGTGGGACAATTATTATTGTGACATTCTAATTTTAAAGTGACATAGTACCAATAAATCCAGTAAAAACTTGACCAGAAATTAACAATAATGGCATTTCAGATCTGGCTAGTGTCATCGTCAGCAAAATCAATGAAAGAAAAATGACTGTTTGTATGAAAAAGAAAATAATAGGGATTATAAACCATGTGACTAAAGGGTTGTAGAAGAAGCAATAAGGATGCATCTTTTTATCTTTCTGTCATCATCCTTGTTTTTCTTGTACTCATCAAGCTACGCTTTCTAACATCAGAATCCATTACTTCTATTTTACTGTTTTGTATTTTATTCTTAGGAGGAAGAAGAACCTGAGCTGGAGGGAGATGCAGAGGCACCAATTGAATCAGAGGAGAAGAATGAGTCTCCTACCAATAAACTGCAAAATAACCAGTTGAGTCCAAAAGAGAATGCAGATTGTTCTTCTAGAGATTCTGATTCCATTTTACAATATGTTAAAGACCAAAAGGCACAAACTGACAAGATTTCTGACAAGATACCCCAAATTGATTTCTGAATAGATGTAAAAAGCTTAGGCTTCTATGGGTTGTGATTTCAGGACCCAGAAAACCGTGTCAGTAATACACTAGAGTTAAATAATTCCATTTTGTAGGTAAATCTCCACACAGCATTGATTTATTTGAGGAAATCTTTAATGTGGAAGAACTAAAATACAACTGAATGTATCAATTATGTCAAAGGTTTATAATTAAAAGTTTCAAACTAATTGTTAGTTTAAGAGTTGTTTGTACCCTTGATTTGTACAATTGAATTCCCAAAAATGCCACAGCTTTAAACTACTAAAGCTAGCTTTTTCAAGAATCATTAATTGGCCTTAACAGATATTCACCTGAATCAAAAATAATTTCTGTATAGACATCTTTTTAAAAAACTTGAAACTAAAATTACTCAAAAATTGTTTGATTCCCTGGAAAATCCAGCTTTCAGAGAAAAAAAGGTTGTCTTTTGATATGTTGTTTTATGTGAAATTTTTATTTATTTGCCTGCTTTCACTTTTGAAAATTCTAGTTGTTATTAGTATAGAAAATATTGCTATTGATGTTAATCTCTGTCCATATTATGGATTGCTTTGGTATATTTCTGTGTATCTGACATGTTAGTTTCCTTACACCTTCACTGACTGTTACTTTTTTGCAAGCAGTTGGATGAATCAACTTGCATGCAACTACTTTCATGTTAAGTATAACTTTGAGACTCTAATTGAAACATGAATTTATTTGCAACATTTGTCAGTTCTCTTTTTGTGTTTTATAATGTACCTTTTATGTTTTGGTTGCTTGTACTGTGTATAAAATTTAAGCGCTTAGTCTCATAATGATCTGTCTTTCTCTTCAAAAACTTGTAAACCCTTAAAGAGAAACACATTTTTGGAAAAATCATACACATTTAGAGCTTTTATAAAAGTTATTTAATTCATTTTGATGAATTCTAATAGAATTAGTTGTTAGATAAACAAAAGTCTAAAAAAACTAAATGGGGTTTTATTTTCTGTACTGGGCCCCATTACAGTGGCTATATTTCATCATATTGCATATGCATAATATCTTTGTATGGTGTGCTAAAAAATATAGCTGGTGATTTTGGTAAACCTTGGTAGTTGATTTTTTGCAAGGGATGGGGAATTTACTCATTGAATGGCTTAGACAAAGATTACATATTCTTGATGACAGAATGCTTACCAAAAATCGCAAAGCAGCAGCCTTCGGTATACTTCCAAAACAAGGAAACTCATTTTGATTTACATACCAACACATTTTTTGAAATTTATGCAAAGTAATTGTTGATTAACAGCTGTTAGGTCTATTTCATAGATCTTTCTACTACACCAATAAATTTAGCTAATGCAATGTCCTTGTCAGAAAGGCCCTGACAAACATGTGTAGTGAGTGTGACATCAACTTTGTTGTAAACATTGAACCACTCTGGATGGTGATCCATTTTTTCTGACTGCAAGGCAATTCTTGTCATAAAACCGAATGCCTGGTTAAAGTTCTTAAATCTGAACTGTTTGTATATGGCATCTCGATCCTCTAGCAATGACCATCCTGTTTTCAATAGTGGTTCCAGTTCACCTTTTCGTGATGTATCTTTCAATTTGCTTGCTCCACAGACAGATACCTAACATTTAAGAGGACACTGTAATATTTGAAGTCTGTGTTTTCATTGATATTTTTAATTGTAGCGAAACAAAAAGACCATTTTACCTTACTTTTGGCTTCAGCCATCTTTGTACGGTTTGAATAACTGAATTCCCGTGACGTTATCCGCCAACTGGTGCGTTCTATTGCTTTTCGAAAATGGGCAATTATCATCTCTCCGCTTTTTTCAAGTGATTTGATTACTGATGATCTTGTTTACTTAGCCTCCTTTTGATATTGAGTATGGCATATGGTTAGGCCAAATGTCCAGGGCAAGACACAAGGGGCGTTTTTTGACAGGGGTACATTTAAAACATGGCTGAAAAAGATATAGCTGGGATAGGAAGAAAAGAAGTTGATAACTCTGTGCAGGCTAAAAATAATGCTTTGGATGATGATGAGTTGGATTCCCTTCTTGATGGTAAGGAACACTGGCTTTGAAAGCTGGCTTATCTATGTATTTATTGTTGTGATGCTAGACGGCACTAAGAGTATTGAAAAATTAACAGTATCGGCGCAAATTTGTCGGCCTCAAACAAATAAAACACATATATTGACGTAAACTCGTTTAAAAGGATTTCCCCCAAAATCAAACTGTTATGAATATAAAATGCAGGTAAAGAAGCTAATATTAATCCAGTCTGCAGAGCATGGCAGTTCTCGACAAAATCTCGAAATGTGCTTTGTGTGCAAACCATTCAATTTGGGTCAAATGTGTGCACTGTGCAGCATGCTTCCAATGGACAAAATACAGCTTGAGAAGGTTCTCACAATTTGTGCACAGCAATTTATTTCTGTGCCTATAGCAGTGACAATTCAGGTTTTGAGGTTTTAGTGTGGGACTTGTGGGCCAGTTTGCAGAGCATAGTAGCAGGGGCTGATTTAAGCAACAATGATTGGGGGGTGTTAGACACTAATTTTGGTGCCACACCCTTCAGGTTACTGGTAAATGATGGAAACGCCCATTTTTAAAATTTGGTTTTTAACTGTGGCGTAGCTAGGTTTGAAAGATTGGTAGGCCAAAGAGAAAAATATTTTTGCTGATCAAACCCCTAAGAATTTGGGAAAACACCCATTTTGTAAATGTATTTGAAAAAGCCATGGCATTTTTATGTGGCAATTTCCCTTTATTCAATGTCATAGGTGGCTGACCATATTCTACAACTGTCCATTTCCTTCACAATTCCACTAACATTTATATCCTGAATTGTGTAAGGCGAGGAATCTCTATGTGTAAAAAGTGATTTTCCAAAGTTTAATCAAATATCTAAAAAAATGAACAGTATGAAAAAGCTACCAGCATTTTGTTAGTAAAGATAA